TTTTTTATGCTCCATCAAGCTACGGCCTAAAACTATCTTCAACAAACTAAAAACTAGATTCCACATATCCTGTACTCTGGAACAATGGAAAAACAAATGAGCAATAGTTTCTCGATCCACACCACAGAAGGAACACAAGCCCGTCGGATGATGAAACATATCGACCAACTTAACATTGGTGATCACGGCATAGTGCCAAATAAGATAATCTAAATTACAACACCGATAACCAACAAAAGAATAAAAACAACCTTTCCAAATAGATGGCCAATGAGAAGCAGGTACGGCACTTCTCCAAAATTGATGCGATACATGGGGGTGAAAATTATCCTGTAAAGCAATAAATATCTTTCGCAAGGAAATACCCTGAAATAAACTAAAATCCAAACCATTATTACGTGTAAAATACAAAACACGTGTGTGGAAGCTTCTCCCGGAAGGTAATCGAGAAGTAAGTAAGAATGTCCAATCTTGGCGTAAAGCCGAATAAAGTAGATGGACACGTTTACCAACAAATTCCTTAGTGAGTTTCAACATGTTGATGATACTTCTTTGACGTCTCTTCTATAACTCCTGCTCTACAAATTTGTCGACTTTGTGGGAGGGCGTCAGGTAGTCTGATTAATTATGATAAGAACAGAGGTCTGTGGCTAGGGAGTTGGGATTTTTGACGGGATTACTGTTTCTTCACAAGTTTTGACGATTTTTGGTATACAGTTTCACCATGATAGAGTTGCGATGCATCGTATGAATTGGCAAGATATCTGTCGACGAGTCACTCATATTTTAACATCTTGGCGGCATTGAGAGTTATCCCAGAAACGTAGGGTGTAGATGATTAATGCTTTGGTTACCTCTGTACTATGGTATCAACTTTTGCTATATTACGAAAGGAGTTTTTCACTTTTCTATGGGATGGAGGGATACATAAAGTTAGTTATGAGGTGTTAATTGAATAAGTTCGGGAAAGGGGACTCAATCTTGTAGATATTCGTCTCCGTAAGTATGCCTATAGATTGAAACTGCTTCAGAATTGCTTATCGGGACAGTGTCATGAGGTTTTAAGTTCGTTATTAGATTTTTATTTTGGTCTTTATGTTGATTTGCAACTCGTTACTGGTGTATTTTCATGTCAAAGGGTTCCTCGATTTAAGCGTCTTTTACCTCCGTATGTCGCTGAGATCTTTAAAGGATGGATAATTCTTTCAGGTGGGTTTACTCGGAGGCCATTTGACGATTTTCTGGAAATTTTCGAACAACCTTTGTTTCTCAACCCTAATTTAGTAGATAATCGAAGGCGAATATTTTACTTTTTTGAATTTGTAGCAGCTGGTATCACGTGACTTTGTCATTTACATTATAAGGTCATCCCTCGTTTTCTCCGGGAATCTTTCAGCGTAGTGGCTTTGGTGTCAATTCCCTGCGGTGGATAAAACTTTTTTATTCCGGTATTTCTAGTATTATTAAATATAATGGTTATTTTACTAACACTATCAATATTACTCGAGGGCTTCGCCAGGGATGTCCCCTGTCGGCAATATTATACATTCTTTGTGCAGAACCTTTACATCATATCATTGTTCGGCATAATGCTATTTTGGGAGTTACATTATTTTCTCATACTAGTCTTATCAAAGGAAACAAGTAACCATATTCAACACGATCAAAAGCCTTCATTTGATCAATCTTTAGTAAAATCCCACCTCTTTGCGTTCGCTCTAAGTAGTCCATTAACAACTTCAAAAGGAGGGGCACCTCAACCACATCCCTACCTGGAACACAACCAGTCTGGTCCTGTGGCACGAGACTCGCTATGACCCGGGACAATCGATTAGCTAACATTTTAGTCAAATCTTGTAATCACAAGTCAGCAAGGTTATCGGACTATCGCCTATCTTCTCCCTTTGGAATAAGAATAAGAACTCCACGTTTCATGCTTTCAAGTAAAAAAATCCGCGTGAGAAAATCTCCCGCAAAACCCTCACAAAATCATCAATAAAGTAAGGTAAGAAACACCTATAAAATTCAAAGGTGAAACCATCTTCCTCTGGAGATGTATTATCCTTAAGATGTTTGAGAGCCTCATGAACATCGTCAACACTAATATCAGCATCACACATCAGTCGATCAAAGTCGCTTAATTTTTTTAAAAGAAAAGACAAAACCTCATTCAAAGCTGAATCTTCTACACCTTCCGACTTGTAAGATGCAGAAAAATAATTGTGTAAAACAGCTCCAATATCTTTGGTACCAAAAATCTAACCTGCCATCTGGTGTGAAAACATGCCGTATTTAGCATTAAACATGCTCGCTTTAACCACTGAGGCAATTTGAGCGTTGTGAAGAGCTACTTTATTTTGTATATATATATATATTATTCACTTATATAACTCTGATATGTACGTTTTTAAAAAATAATTCAATTCAATAATACATTTTCCTTCTACGTTTAAAATTTTAATCGGTAAAATTGGTATGTTAAACCCCACGATATGCTATAAAAAACATATTTAAACACTGAAATACTTACTTGGACACAGCATGGCTTAATGGTTAGCGTGCCGGACTTTAGATCTGAGGGTCCATGATTTACATACTGTTGCAACAAAATCGCTTTGGGGCTGTAGGTGTATTATAGGAGTAACGGTCAAATTTCACTACTCGATTACAGGACCCCAGGAGTTACCAGCGATGCTGTAAACTAGCTGCCTTCTCTTAGTCTATTAGTTTAAAATTAGGGACGACTGGAGCAGATAGCTCTTGTGTATCTTTGTGCAAATAGCTGAAACAAGCGCCCCCCCCCCCACAGTCGTTGGTGGCTTGAAAAATCTTAATAGAAATCCATGATCCATATCATACTGAAACGGCGAAAATTCCCACGCCTATGGGCCAAGCTCTGAACCAACTAAGCACCTAGCGACGCCTTTAGAACTATGTACCTATCATTATATTAGTGGATGTATTGTTAAAGGCTTCGTCTTCAGCTGGTGAAAATTGCTTAAAATCCGAACTCAATTAATATAAGTATTTTTATTATAAATTTTCCATCAAGAAATGAATTGAGTACACTTTTTTATGTCTTAAAATATGATCAAAGACATGCTAGCTTAGAAAATGATAAAAATAAGAAGTTTATATGTAATTAAGCACAAAGCTACACAATGTGCTATCTGTGCTCTACCCACCACGGGTATCGTTGTTTTTATATCTATTTGTCGGTTTGAACAACAGTTTATTTCTTTTCTTTTTTGTGTTGAATCAACACAACGCTGAGAGAAATATGTTGTAAGTTACATATAAATTATTTATGAATTATATTTTACTCCTGGATTTTTTTAGTGATATTTCATTAACTGCGACATTCAACGTTGTTACGAAACGAAAACATGATGGCGCTGTATCTTTGATCGCGAAATATATCACGTGTTGGACCAATTAAAAGCAGGAAGAGAAGATTTAGTTAACATACCAATCGTGTATCGCTTGTAACTATCATAACTTTTTTATGATATGTTAAAAACACATTAATTTAATATCTAGAATATTAAAACGAAACATGCAGTACAGGCCTTTCAGAGTTTGTCTGCTTTTTAACTTTTGACACTTGTTGGAAATTATTCATATCCATAAACACATAAGACTAAAAATTCTACAACTTAGCTGTTTGTTTTCATCGGCTCTAAATACATTGCTTTTAAAGGTATTTGGACTAAGAATATATTTGTAACAAGCATCATTTAACAGGAAGTGAAGAGCAGTAACCCTTAAACTGACTTCCTGTTTTAAGATTATATTTTACAATGCTTATGTGAACGAGCTTAAAATGTAGACACGTATTACCTTTACTTTAATGTCGTTGAGAGGTCATGAATATAATTAAGTGATACCATCCATAGAACTTGGTTCACATATAACTCACTTGTAATGCTAACATCAAGACCAGCTTCTAATCACAGCTTTATGATACTCGTTTCATGATGAGATTCTCAAAAATACTCTTTAATTAAGGCGTATGTGCTTTTACTTTGGTTTGAGTAGAAAATATTGTATCACTCACGATGTTCTGAGTAAAGTTAAGAATACTCATTTTTAGAATTGTATAAAACTAACGCATTTCATGAAATGTACGTCGCTATATATGTTGAAGAGTTTGTTTGTTTTGAATTTCGCGCAAAGCTACACGAGGGCTATCTGCGCTAGCCATCCCTAATTTAGCAGTGTGAGACTAGAGGGAAGGCAGCTAGTCATCACCGCTCACCGCCAACTCTTGGGCTACTCTTTTACCAACGAATAGGGGGATTGACCGTCACATTATAACGCCCCCACGGCTGAAAAGGCGAGCATGTTTGGTGTGACGGGGATTCGAACCCGCGACCCTCAGATTGCGAGTCGAGTGCCTTAACCACTTGGCCATGCCGGGCCCGTGTGTTGAAGAGACCTTTGCTTATACAGAAATTTTAATTAGTACTAGCAGCTCCCAAACATGATATTCTACAAACTTTCACTTTTAGTGGTAGAGTCTGTCCATTTGCATTGTCAGAATGTAACAGTCTACTTCAGACGCCATTACGATTATAATACATAATTGTTTTTAGCTAGTTAAGTTATACCTTTTTTTGTAAGTAATAATTTGTGTGCATAAAGAATCGTCATTGCTTGAAATCAAGTCGAATTTAAGCTTGTAACCATCAAATAATTATTATAAACTAAATGGCAAATCTCCTAATTCTTAAAATCAGAAAAGTATAGGTATGATGTGTTTTAAATGAATATTGTCATTATTTGAATGTCGTGAAATAAAACAACAGGCAAGATAAGACTAGTAGTAACGATGATCGATTCGTTTAGCTTTAGTTAATTTTTCTGGAAAGGGGTTTGTCGGGGTTATCTAGGAAATGGAAAGGATGGATTACGACGTTATATGGGCATGAAACGAAGGAGCATGAAACACCCACGCAGACTATATATATTACAGCCAACACTCACCCCTGACTGCTCAACGTCCGAACAAAGAAGCCCAATCATATGCTGGTACGTTTAGTCTTAACGTGCTGAAGAAATTCTTTGTCACGTGCTTTCACTAACCTAACACAGATCCCCGTCATGACAGATCAGGTAAGTTCCGTGTTATGTGTTCTTCTGTTGTTTATTCATTTGAACGTGTAACATATCAAATTAAATAATTGTATATGATCAGAAATGTAAAGATATATGCATGTTCTTGCACTGTCACTTTACACATAATTTGAAGGGATACGTCTATATTATAATTAAGAAAGGAAACGAAAGTCCAAAACTTATTAGTTCATCAGCAAAATCTCATATAGTCACGTACAGCTTTTAATCTGACTCGATGTTAGTAAGCCACTTGGATAATGAGATCAATATTAAGTTATTCGAGGTTTAATATATGCATCTCTCGAAAGTGATTGGTAAAGCCAGCTAAAACCACCATGCCCTCCAGTGGCACACTGGTATGTCTGTGGACTTACAATGCTAGAAACCGGGTTTTGATACCCGTGGTGGGCAGAGCACAGATAGCCCATTGTGTAGTTTTGTACTTACTTACAAACAAAACTAACCATATTTTAAAATAATGTCTAAAAAATGGAGAGTTCTTGTTCCATATAGGGGCTCTAAGTTGTGTGAACAATTTATGTCAAATTGATTAATATCATTGAATTATTTGATATAGAAGTGATCCAATCACTGATGCCAAAAAGATCCTGGTTACAATAGTCATCGCCTCAAATGTTCTTTATATCCAAAACTAAAAAGTAACAACAAAATGGAACCTCAAAGAAGCTTAGGGTAATACTATTCATTTAGTGATATGACATTGGTGTCAAATACTAACGCTATTTAATAAGTTTGGCCTTAAGATACTAAGATTATCTAATAACCTGGGTCGTCAAATATTAAGATTACCTAAAGACCTAGGTCGTCAAAGATTAAGGTAATTCATAACTGGTTTTTTTACTCTTATATTCTCATTCTATTAAATTACTGATATTTAACATGAAGAACTACACGTGTTAAAAAAGTGATCTGTATATGGTTTCACAATAGAAAAATCTCTCTCTGTTTCTCCAGTATTGTATGTCAGTGCTTTATTTAGGGCCCTCGTTATCAAAACATATCGATATGTGAAAAGCTTAATTATGCACTATTCATAATGTGAAGAATTATACTGAAACCTTAGAGAATGTCGGAGAGGACTCCCTTACTTATTTGACTGACCTGAAAATATATTGAAAAACCTTCTATTAAAAATATTGATGTCTGAAAAGCTATCGTGAAGACATTTAACAAGAATTATACATTTGTTGTGAGGAGAGGAAATCCACTTTACACTTGAAATAAAAGTCCAGAGATACAGCTTTAGTGTGGTACTAAAGTTAAACATAAAATAAAAATAAACAATACACTCAAAATCAGTATCTCTGGATTTTTAGTTTAATAATTATAAATATGAATTTATTTAATGAGAACCCTTTTGCTGAACAACAATTATATATAAAGACATCTAATAATAATCCCTCTACTCGAGAAGAATTATACATATGTATAAAGATATTTAGTAAGAACCCTTCTACTGAACAAGTATTATGTATAAAGATATTTAGTAAGAACCCTTCTACTGAACAAGTATTATGTATAAAGATATCTAGTAAGGACTTGTATGCTCAACAAGAATGATATATGAAGGACTTAGTGAGGAACCTTCCACTCAATACGAAATGCATAAATAAATACAGGAATTCGAAGTTTCTTAGAGAAGGTCTAATTCAGAGACTGCTAGGATTAAAGTACACAGTTTCTTAATTTTAAACTACTAACAAAAGAGAAGACAAACAGTGATCAGCACCCGCCGTCACAAGGGCTTTTTTGGCTCTTGTAACCGCATAACATGATTTACTGCTATATTTACAACACGCTCACGGCTAAAAGCGAGAAGAACATATTCAACAACATCACGTCTCGAACCCTAGACCCACTGATCCACAGGCCGACACGATAACCAATATATCGCCCAACCCATAGGACCTTTTTACTCAATAAGAATGACATATCCAGAGATTTAGTGAGAACAGGTATTCTTAAAAAGAATAACATATCCAGAGATTTACTGAGAATAACGCTCCTCAACAAGAAGGACATATCCAGAAATTTACTGAGAATAACGCTCCTCAACAAGAAGTACATATCCAGAAATTTACTGAGAATAACGCTCCTCAACAAGAAGTACATATCCAGAGATTTACTGAAAATAACTCTCCTCAATAAGAAGGACATATCCAGAAATTTATTGAGAATAGCTCTTCTTAACAAGAATGACATATCCAAAGCTTTAGTGAAAACAGGTTGTCTCAACAAGAATGACATATCTAGAGATTTAGTGAGAACAGGTATTCTTAAAAAGAATAACGTATTCAGAGCTTTGTTGAGAATAGCTATACTCAACAAGAATGACATATCCAGAGATTTACTGAGAATAACTCCTCTCAACAAGAATGACATATCCAGAGATTTACTGAGAATAACTCTTCTCAACAAGAATGGTATATCCAGAGATTTAGTGAGAACAGGTCTTCTTAAAAAGAATGACATACAAAGAGCTTTAGGGAAAACCGATTGTCTCAGCAAGAGTGACATATCGAAAGGTTTAGTGAGAATACTTCTATCCAACGTGTTTTTATATCATTGTATGTTTCCACACTTTTGTTGACAAGCGACTGTTTTCTTAAATACCGATTTAGAATTCTTATAACTCGCTTAAAACCGATGTAAAATCGCAAGACAAATATTTGAAAGAAATTTGTAATTTTTTTCTTTTCTTTTTGTAATGTGAGACAGCAGGATATTTATCCATGATGTTAAGGTTAAAGGGGTTTTATCTGCTTGTTTGATACATATCCATGTTAAGATTAAACGGGTTTTATCTGCCTTGTTTGATACATATCCATGTTAAGATTAAACGGGTTTTATCTGCCTTGTTTGATACATATCCATGTTAAGATTAAACGGGTTTTATCTGCCTTGTTTGATACATATCCATGTTAAGATTAAACGGGTTTTATCTGCCTTGTTTGATACATATCCATGTTAAGATTAAACAGATTTTATCTGCCTTGTTTGACATATATCCGTGTTAAGGTTAAACGGGTTTTATCTGCCTTGTTTGATACATATCCATGTTAAGATTAAACGGGTTTTATCTGCCTTGTTTGACATATATCCGTGTTAAGGTTAAACGGGTTTTATCTGCCTTGTTTGACATATATCCGTGTTAAGGTTAAACGGGTTTTATCTGCCTTGTTTGACATATATCCGTGTTAAGGTTAAACGGGTTTTATCTGCCTTGTTTGATATACATCCGTGTTAAGGTTAAACGGGTTTTATCTGCCTTGTTT